AACAATAACGTGTTATTCGGCGCAGGGACTAAAGGAGAGAAACAATGAAAATGTCTCGGTAAGACTTTGTTTATGGTAGTTGGCAAGCCAGTTTAAAAAAAACACAATAATTTTGATCATTTTGAGTGAGACCGATGGAACAAGATGCAATGCTGAAAGGAGGAGTCCACACTGGAGGAAATGGAGGCCAGGTAGAGATCTGAAACTTAAAAAAGCGTTTGGCACGCTTGCCTTCATCACTCAGACCTTTGACTAAAGGAGTTGGGATGTTATGTTGAGGTTGTACAGGACATTGGTGAGGCCACATCTGGAATACTGTGTCCAGTTCTGGTCGCCCAGTTGTAGGAAGGACATTATTAAGCTGGAGACGGTTCAGAAGAGATTTACGAGGATGGTGGTGGGTATGGAAGGTTTGAGTTGTAAAGAAAGGCTGGATAGGCTGGGACTTTTTTTCACTAGAGCGTAGGAAGTTGAGAGGTGACCTGACAGAATTTTATAAAATAATGAGAGGTGTAGATAGAGTTGGTGGCAGTTGTCTTTTCCCTAAAATGGGGAATTTCAAGACCACAGTGCGCATTTTTAAAGTGAGAGGAGAGAGATTTTAAAAGGACATAAAAGGCATTTTTTTAACACGAAGAGTGGTGGTTCCCGCGTGGAATGAACCTCCTGATGAATTAGTGGATGTGGTTACGATGACAACGTGTAAAAGACATTTGGATGGATGCATGAACAGGAAAGGTTTGAAGGGACATGGGCCAGGAGCAGGCAGGCTGGACGAGTTTAGTTTGGGGTTATGTTCGGCATAGACTGGTTGGACCGATGGGTCCGTTTCTGTGTTGTGTGACTGTGTTGCCACCAGCAGCGGGCAGTCAGTCACATGTGCAACCAGTGGGGGCATCTTCATTGGAAGGAAAGTGTATCCACCATCTCCTCAGCCAGGGTTCTGTTAAAGGCCATGCTGTCAGTACAGTCATCCACAATAGATTGGCAGTGAAGGTTAAGCGCCTTATTCAGCAATGAAAGGAGGAGAGGGTGCAGAGAGAGGTTCTGAGGCTGCAGTAAGGGTGTGTATGAGCTGAGAGAGATATTGGAAAGACTTGTCCTCCGCAGGTGCAGTGAGAAGTTTGGGGAGAACTGGACAGTTGAGCAGCTAGATTTGGAGAGCAGAGGACCTGAAGTATCTCAATATATAAGGAATCCTCATTAAAACCTGCATTATGTAGAGTATGTTGGCAACAGCTATTTGAACAGCAGTCAAATTACTTCCAGAAAATCTGAATGAAATCAAGTTTTATCATTAAATATTTTGTGGCAGAGGGAGAGTAAATGAATAAACAACCATTTGTCACATAAAATAGTGTCAGGGGAAAAAAAAATCCCAAAACGTCCTGGTCCACATTGTTCCCAAGTTCTTCCAAGTGAATGCGGATTGGACGCGGAGTTGGGGGTCTCACCAACCTCCTCAGGAAATAGCCTAGAGTCTGAACACACCAGTCCAACTTCTCCGACTTCCGGGACACGGGCATATCCCATTTCCAAGATTTGCAACTGTCCAGACAATTCCGCCGATAATCAGGGATTGCCAGGGGGTTTATTGTAAGGTGCAAATCACCTCAATGACAGAGCGGCGGCATTTTCACCTCTCACTATGAACTGGAATCGAGGCTTCAACGAAATTAAACATTCAATTTGGTTAAATGCACTTGATGAAGCTATTCTGTAATAAACCCGTTCAGAGATGTTATGACACAGATGGGACTTGAACCCGGACCTCCAGCTCAGAGGTAGAGACACTACCACTGCACCACAAGAACTCTTAAATGCATCGAGTGAACGCCACATATGGTACCGGTGTGTAGTAAAGTCAATATATTTCATTAAGGGGAAAATGTAAAGCGGGCTACTGTTGCACAGTAGTAGTGTCCTTAGCTCTGAGGTAGGACACCGGGGTCTAAGTCCCACCTGCTCCAGAGGTGCGTCATAACATCGCTGAACAGGTTGATGAGAAAACATCCAAAGCACAACCACATTCATTTTTTAATAAACTAAATGGTTAACGTTATTCCAAATTCTGGTGCCCTACGGGTTGTCCGTCACTTTTTGAAAATGTAGGAAAACTGCGTAACACAATACAAAGGGCTTGGACCAACTTTGACTACCTTTAGAACGGTTCTTGTTTCAAATGAAATCCTGTCTGGCACGTCTTGCCTCGTAAGCACGGGATGGTTGTCCAAAAACAGCCAATGCATTTTATTTTTCAGTTAATCGCAAATCCGATTGTTTACTGTCATCTGCCCAAGAAAGATGAATGAATTGGCAACAGTTGAGTGAAGTTAGTTCACGTTCTCCCAACCGTCACAGAGTGGGGACATTCTTTTTTTAAAAAAAAACACTACAAAAGTCTGGTGAAGGACACGATGCAGGACGTCCTCTCTAATTTCCCACTAGCTGTTAACTGGGTGGAAATAAAACGATTAGTAGCGTTTCTTTAGGGGCAATTTCACACGAGTACGTTTAGCTCGGTGTCTGACCCAGTAAATTCTAACGCGCTTCTATTTTGGGATGTTTCATGCTGGCGGCAAAATCAAAGTGCAGTTTGTGCGGTCTGAAGTTTATTTCAAGGACAGAATTGCAGCCTTCGCTGTACCTTTTGTACAAGCGCAGCGTCTGCACTGTCCCATCTACAACCATAGCCAGCCCCACATCAAAGCACAACACCGTGGATGCTGGAAAACTGAAATTAAAAACAGAAATGGCTGGAGAAACTAAGCAGGTCTGTGGAGAGAGAAACAGAGTAAACATGTCCAGTCCAAAGATTCTTCTTAAGCCACGGGACCTTAAAACGCGAACTCTGTTTCTCTCTCCATGGATGCTACTGAGTTTCTCCAGCACATCCTATTTTTTTTTGCTGGACTTTTGTTAGCCCGTGCTATTGCAGTCCAATGGTATTCCGCTTTCCTCTACGGTCGTTTGGAAATTGTAACAGGGATAAGGAATCTGTTCCCATGCCTACCCAACTTGTGTGTAAAGACATTGGCAAATAATCCAGAGGCAAACAAGTAGTCATTGTAAATTCAACGAAGTTTTTCCAGGGCGGGAACAATGGCGTATGCAAACGAGACAGAGCGGTTAACCCTGACCGGATTTGAACTGACTTGGAGACTATTTCGGCCTCTAGGACAGACCCGTGCTATCATTTCCAGAATCCTGAAAGCTCTCTGAGAATCTTCCCCGTTGCCTTTTCCTTTACTAACTCTTCAGACTTACCGTGAATGTCCCGAACGCCCTCAGTTGCAGGAGTCAGCCTTCCATTCTCAAGCTGGGACAGGCCTGGAATGCGTCTTCCGATTCCAATGGAAAATGATTCGCTTCTAACAAGAGCTCCCAGCTCTCCAAACCCACTGGGACTCCCTCCGCCACCCCCTCACTCCAATTAACAAGGAGACCAGCCTGCTCTCCTCCACTAAACGCCCCCTTCCCCCCCTCCCCACCCAACCTCTCTCGTAACTAACTGGAAGACCCCATCTCTCCAGCAACTGGGAAATCTACCTTTCAGTGTAACTCGGGTACTCTCCCTCCCCGAGCTCTCTACAAACTGGACGCCCCACCACCCTTCATTTTCAATATGAGGTGGGACTCTCCCTGCACCCCACTCCCACCCACAAATACTCTTCTCTTTACGACTGGGACACCCTTCCCCCCTACACACATATACACCGACATTTCTCAATACAAACTGGGTCCCATCTCTCTCCAGTGTACTTATCGCTTGAGCCACATCCTAGGGAGATGTTAAACGATGGAAGGGAATCAAATTTCACCCGATTGTGGAAAAGATGATTTATTTCAGAAATGCGTTAGTTTTATTTTGTTAAAACGTAAAAGTGTAAACTTAATTTAATTCTCGCTAACCCTAGGGACCAGGGGAGTTGTATTTTACTTGTGACGCTTGAACAGATTCTGCTCAGACTGATCAACTCAATCTCCAGTCAAGGCGTGGGGAATTGTCATGGAAACCCCCATCCATATTTAACGAGTTATACAAGAGCATTTTCCCTGGAAAGTGTGCAAAACTGCGTTCACATTCGAAACGGTACAAAGTGTTGTTGACTGTTACTCTCACATTTCCCATCTCACGCTCCCACCGTGAGAAGAGACGCGCACATGGGAAAATTTCCACATTGGCAGAGATCTGGAGAAAATCCACGCTTTTCCTCGCGCACTCTTCACGACTCCCTTTGGAGAATACATCAAGGGTCTCGGGAAGTTCACCTCTAGTTAGACTCCATCTAATTTTTGTTTTCAGCGAGGCTAACTGGGCCCTGGGGAGTGATTTTTTTTTGGGGGGGTAACATACTGGGGCAGGCCGGGACGCCGAACACGTGAAGATTTGGGATTGATAAAGCAACTTACAATTTATCGGCTGGGAAAGCCGCATCTTTTCCGTTCAAAGTTGCTCCCGCCTACACTGAAGGCGCTGGCCTGATCCCAGTGCCAGCTGTGATATTCCCCACAGATGGTGCTTCAATTTGAGTCAGGGAATCAGTAGTCTGCAGACCCACTCCAGGACCTGAGCGTTTAAAGCAGCCAGTGGAGTGCTATGCTGAAGGAGATGGGTGTGTATGTGGGTGTGTGTGTGTGTGCCTCGATGGGAAAATAGGATCCCACAGCCCAGAAAGAGGAGGAAGCCATTCGGCCCTGTTTGAAATGGCTATCCAATCAGTTCGAATGAGATTCACCGGACTGGAAGCGTTATGCCTGCCACTGTTGCTGAGTTTCTCCAGCACTTTCTCGCTTTTCCAATCAAGTTCCAATCTTTTACCCTCCCTCTCATCGCCGAATTCCTTTTCAAGAGCTTTTCTAGTTTGAAAATTCCCGGTGGATCCCTCTTCCAGGAAGCGCAATCAACAGGATTCACAACTAATGTTCAAGTTGTGAAAGTTTCGGATGCGATTTTTAAAATAACACACGCGGGCACACACACACAAGACAAAAGCGCGTGCTTTGTAAAATTATATTTACATCAATATGACCATAAAACAATACATCTTAAGAGGACTAATTGGTCCCTTTTTCTTTAAAAACCCAGTTAGTGGTTTTACACCAATACATTAAACCATCAAAACAGGTCAGCATCAGCCACATAAAAATTATTCACACTCTTTACAACCAGAGCTTTGCTACAAAATGTAAAACACTGGAAGATATTTAGCACAAAACGCGTACAAAAATATTTTCTAAAAATCTCCAGATTAATCGGCCGGAATTGAACAGCTTCGCCAGCTCGTGGAGGTCATTGGCGATTCCAGGATTGCCCGGGTCTGTCATTTAAGGCCGGGTATTTACATGCAGACATCGTCCACAATAAACAAGGCACCAAAATACCTCAGCATGCAGTGTTTAAATGCGAAAGTACAAAACATCCATTTGCCATTAAACTAACGCCGGATAAAGTTGCCTCTCAATGACCTCTGTTCAGATCTAACTTCTGTAATACCCCTCCCTCATCCTTTTTTTTAATCTCCTTTGGGACTTCCCACACGAGAGAGAAAGTGTTAAAACATCAACAACGTGCCGCACACATCCCCATTCACAACATGGGCCCATTCCTAGTTATTTTTATAGGATTAGAGAGCTTTTTTTAAAAAAAAATGTAATTTGTCACACTTTTTTTCCCAACTCGTTGTTTGAAGTTATTAGTGACCCATAAACACAAAGTGCAGGAGCGAGTTTCCTTAAATATTCACCGAACTTGTTTATAAACCATTCCCTTTCGCCACCTGTGCAGAACTCTTCACACACAGCCTCACGCCCCCTTAACCCCGATAATATTCTCGACCAGAGCTGCCTCTGAACTGGGAATGTTTCGGGCGAGCATGAGAGAGTTAGTCAACGCAGTGTGTATATATATAGAGAGAGAAAGAGAGAGAGAGATTTATACACAGTACCCTGACTGGTGAACGTAACCAGGAACACTACACTGTCAGGAAACATTAAAAAGAAACCGGTGACCAATTCGCTTTTCTTTCCCCCTCGTACGACAAGAGATGTTGTCCATGGGGAAGGGGTGGGGGTGTTATTGGAGGCTCTTAGAGACGAAGCTGGGGTAGCAGACTGTAAACACGGAGCTGCAGGAAACGTGGGTGCAATCTGCGATAAATATTCTGTTCCCTCAAAGTTCGCGGGTAGTGTCAGTGACTCTGTCTCTGCGTTGGCTTGTTCACACTGTCCTGGGCGGACAGACAGCGAGCGGGCTGCCCCCGGAGCAGACAGTAGATCCCACCGCGGGTCCTGGAGGCTTGTCCCCCGCCAGTCTCTTCTCTTTCTGCCGCAGGTGGATCTTGGTGTGCCTCTTGCGCTCGTCGCTGCGGGCGAATTTCCTGCCGCAGAAGTCGCAGGAGAAGGGTTTCTCGCCGGTGTGAGTGCGGATGTGGGTGGTGAGGTGGTCGCTCCGGCTGAAGTTCCTCATGCAGATGCGGCACTGGAACGGCTTGTGGCCGGTGTGGATGCGGATGTGGCGTGTCAGCTCGTCCGAGCGGGAGAAGCGGCGGTCGCAACCCTCGGCGGGGCACGGGTAAGGCCTCTCGTGGACCGGGGTCTTGCTGGGTCGGTTCGGGTACTTGCGGAGCCGGATGGGTCGCAGGGGCAGGTTCTGTCCGCCGTAAGCGCTGGGCAGCCTGGGTCCTTCCGCTGTCGGGTTACCCAGGGTGAAGTTCCGGATGGTGGACAGGGGAGTGAGAGCTGGAGCCATTCTGACAGTGTCCCCGGGGCAGGAGAAAGGCTTGCGCTCCACTCCCGGGTTCAGCTCTCTGTGCGAATGCTGAGGCTGGAAGATGCTACTGTACTCCGGCAGGATGGGGAACAGGGGGTTCTCTACCACCGGCTTGGACGACGGGTAACTCGGAGGTGGAGGAGGAGGAGGGTAGCAACTGGAGGTACTGAAGAAGGGAGCCGGCTCCTGGTAAATCTCCCCGCAGCTGTAAGGAGGGGGAGGCGAGTACATGTGCTCCATATCGCTCGCATTCTGTGCCATCGTGCAACTGAGGGTGCTGGAGAGAGGGTTCGGGGAGGCAGAGGAAGAGGAGGAGGATGAAGAGGAGGATGCGGAGGAGGAGGTAGATGGAGGGACTCCGAAAATCCCAGCACTCACGATGTTGATGATACCGTCGGGACTCCAGTTGGCGCCGGTACATTGAGAGTCAATGGAGAACTTGCCCATGTAGGTAAAAGACTGTCCTCGGGGGCCAGAGGCTGGGTGGTAGTTGTTGGGGTAAGGTAATTCCAGCGCTCTCTTGTCGCTGCTCATGTCCACATTAATCATGTCTGAAATGAAAGGGAGAGAGAGAGAGAAAAAAATGATGTGCGATTGTTTTCTGCACCATGGATGGAACCGGGTTTCGGACATCATAGAGACATGCAGCCAATAGCATCCCTTACACTGCTCCACACCTGGGACACTATCGCGATGAGGCCCCCCAGTGACAATAAACCAGAGAGATGAATAAACACAACAAACACTAAAGCAGACTAAACAACCGCCTCTGGTGAAATACACTCTTACACCAAACACTCTACGCTTTAACAAATATTTATACAAAAAAGAATCCACTGTATTGTTTCGTGTAACTTTTTAAAAAAAATGATTACCCCCCCACAAAATTCCCTTTCCCCCTCCTTCCCCAAAAAATTAAGTGAAAACTGTCAGTTTTTTTGGAATTCCTCTTTGTGTACCTTTATAGATAACCCAGTGCACAAACAGTATGAGATTATAATCAGTTCTATTATGCCCCGATTCCTGCCCCCCCCCCCCCCTCCCTTTTCTCTACACCCCAACCCCACTCCCAGTTCACTGGACAACAGACCCAAGGTGCTCAGTAACCCGAGGCGCTTACCTGAGGGAATCTGCTCGTATGGGGCCAGCTCCTGGTTGGGGAAGATCGTGACGGACGCGGGCAGCGAACTGAGATCGTCCGCTGAGTACATGTTGTCGGGTATCTGATGGAAGAGGCCTCCCAGAGACAGCGGGATCTTCTCCACCGCTTTCGCCGTCATCCTCTCCAATCTTGGCTCAATGGCCAAACGTTGTTTTGATTTTTTTTTAAAAGATCTCTCTCCGAAAAAAGTTTCCCCTGTTTTTTTTTTGCTCTCGTCTCAACGCGCTCTGAGTGTGTGTCTGCTCTTGGTATCGCAAGCCGAGCTGTGGGTGGTGGGTCTTGCAGGAAAGGCTAAAATCCTCGCCCTCAGTTCTCTAATGGGTAGGTAGGCAGCCCCAGTTTGAGCTGCTGCTAAACTCTCTCACTCTCTGTGTGTCTCTCTCAGTCTCAATCCCCCTGTCTGAAGCTCCACTTTACTATTTATCCCGAGCAGCCGAATGCCCCGTGACGTAAGAGACCATATATGGACTGAGAGAGGAAAAGGCTGAGACAAGTGCCAGTGACGCTCTGGGTGAGGAACTGATTGCCTGGGCGCCGGTTGCTCGGCCACAGGAGGCCTCATACCCCCTCCTCCACCCCCCATCACCGGCTGCACTGGGGGTTGGGGGGCGGGGGGGTGGAGAGAGGGAACAGAATGGGGAGGGGGTTTGCACAGGTTGGGGGGTTTGGGAGTCCCCCTATCTCTCCCATTGCAGCCGCTGCTGGTTAAGAGCGGCCTGCAGCGAGCTGTTGATTCCGGCGGCGCTTTCCTGTCCATGTATGGTGTCAAGATCCGGCAGCGAGGTGGTGGGGGGAGGGGAAGGGGGCAGGGCAGAGGAAGGGGCCAGGCCGACGGGGCTCCGCCCTCCTTCCCCATATTTGGCACAAGATTCCGGAAAGAGGAGAAGCGACGGAAACTGGCGAGAGCCACGCTTACGGAGAGGCTGCGAGAGAGACACAACAGACAGAAAAAAGCGGGGCACCGAGAAAACCGTAGGGTGACCGCAGAGAAAACAGCGAGAACTGACCTTCCACTATTATCAGACAGCAAGCGGGTGCTGTTTACATCTGATACAGCCCCCTAACTCTCCCTCCCCCCCCCCAAAAAAAACAACAACCCTTGGAATCAGCTCAGGTCTAGGTTAGGAGGGGGTAAGGTATTACTGGGACGCTGTGAATTTCTCTTGCTCACAACCATTCGGATCTATAGAGCGCTCTCCGTAAAACGTCCCATCAGTTTACATTTCCATAAGGCTCTTTCCCCCCTCCGCTCCCTCCCCCCCCCCCCCCCCCCCCGCCTTTCCCTGAATAATTGGTTTGAATGTACCACCCAGTCCGCCCGGCAGAGTGGGGGCCTGACGGTAGGTTCTTTCACCCCTCCTTGTCCGCTCCTGAGGCAGCTCCATCAAGGAAAAAGGGCAGGGACAGCTGAGTCAGCGTTGATCACTTGGCAACTTCTGTCCCGGAAACATTAGGGGTCCTGGAATGCAACGCTTGGATCTACCATGCGTTAACTAACACCTACACATGCCTGGGGACCATCATCGCCTGCCCATCCGAAAGGTAATCCCCACTTTCTCCTTTGCTCACTCTCTCTTCACTTACACTCTCTGCTGTGTGCCTGCCTCACTCTCTCACTGTCCATTTCTGTCGTTCGCGCTCTCCGTTTCACACTGTCTGCCTCTTTGCATTCACTCTCCACTCTTTCTCTGGCAGGTTCCCATCATTGCTTTCTGTTTTGCATCTCTCCATGTTTCTCATAATCTGTGTTTCTCTTTTCCTATCGTCTGGCTTTGGGGAGTTCTTCAATTTTACATTGTATCCAATTCTATTTTAAATGCTGGGTCGGTCATTTGGCAAAATATCCTTGCTGGGACTGGGACATTGTTCATCTGGAATTTCAAGTCAGTATCACCGACACTCCCAGGAGAAGAGTAAGGCAGCACTTTGCATGAAGTTAATGGTGACAAAAAATTGGCAGTCCTTATGGAGCAGTGGGCAGGGTCTCATTCTCTGGGTCAGAAGTGACGCTTCAGAACAGAACAAGCACCCATCTCATTAGGACCTGATGGTAAGGACCAGTGTATAAGGCCAGTGTGATTCCAATCCTAATTATATCAGGCCCTCCCAAAGTGTGGGTTGGGACCCCAAGTCAGGACACGAATTGATATTTTGAGGTCATGAGCTGTGATGCAGCAATAGCTGCTGTGGAACTCTGGCAGGATTACAGCAGCAGTACCATTGCTCTCACAAGCCCCCACTGTCACAGATTTCACTGAGGGGTCACCACAACTTTCAAGCCTCAAAAAGGGTTCACATTGTGAAAATTTTGGGAAACATTAGTTTTTTAAAAATATTTTCAACACTCCTGTTGCCTGTATTTTTCCTTTCAATTAATAGCTAATTCTTCTTTCAGTCTCTTCGGACCTCACCCCTTTTACTCTGTCTGCATTCCACCTTTAACCTCTGTATTTTGCCCTTTACTCTAATTCCCATTTTAACTTTCCCTGCATCACCTTCACACTTTGTATAATCTCCTTTAACTATTCCCCTTACTCTTCCCATATTGTATAATTGCTCTCTGTATTTCTCATTACTCTCTATACACCCTTAATATTTTCATTGTATTCCTCTCTTATTCTTTCTGGATTCTGTTTTATCCATTCTGTATCTTCCTTTACTCTCCAATCTCTCTGTGTCCCCATTTTCTCTCTCTCTCTGCATTTCCTAATTATTCTCTAAATATTCACCCTTTGCTGTTACTGTACTCCCCTTTATTTTGTCTGTATTATCTCCTTTCACTGTGTATTCTTTCTTAACCCTCTGAATACTCAGTTTTCATCTTCTGTATTCTCTCTTCACTCTCTATTCTCCTTTTTCTGTCTCTGTATTCTCCTTCTTTTTTCTCTGTATCCCCTCCCTGTCTCTATTTTGTCTCTTTAATCAATCAGTGCCAGGAACTGAGAAACGGGATGAGGCCATTTAGCCCCTCAAATCTGTTCTATCATTCAATGGGATCAACAATCCATGGCCGAATTCCAGGATTTAGCATCACCCGGGATCAACTCTATTTATGATGTGGAGGTGCCCGTGTTGGACTCAGGTGGACAAGGTCAGAAGTCACACAACATCAGGTTATAGTCCAACAGGTTTATTCAAAATCACAAGCTTTCGGAGTGCTGCTCCATTGTCAGGATTATAACCTGGTGTTGTGTGATTTCTGACCAACTCTATTTGTGGAAGAGAGTTTGAAAGTTCCAGCACTCCATGTGTGTAGATATTTTTCCTTTTCTCACTGCTGAAAACTCCAGCTCTAATTTTTTGACTGTACCACACAATCCCGGACTATCTCACCCTCACTCCAAAATGGCTTCTGTCTACCTGCCTTATTGGTTGCTCTTAATATCTTGAAAACCCCAATCAAATGACTCCAGAACCCTTTAAACTCCAGGGAATACAGTGTTGTGTTTGTGGAATCTCTCCTCATAACTTAACCCTTGGAGTCCAGGCATCTTTCTGATAAATTTTGGCGGCACTCCCTCCAAGGTCAGCATATATCAAGTGTGATGTCAGAACTGCTCACAATAATTCTGGATGTGGTTGAACAAGGCTTTGCATAGTTAAAGCACTATCTGTATCTTCTGGTATTCTAGCCCTATGGATTATAAAGAACAGCACTCCATTAGACTTTTTGGTGCAAATTTGATACAAAGTTTGTATCTGATCGTTCATGTTGTTAATAAGTAGTTAAGGACATAACAAAAAGAGTACCTGCCGAATACTCCCACTCTCTGTCCCCTGCCCCTCAGCCAGTTTTCTAACCAGATCAATCATTTCCTTTTAATTACAAGGCCTTCAAGTGTAGCTCACAGTCCCTTCTGAAGTACTTCATCCAAATATATTTACATTGTTCAGGGCTACTTTGAAGTTTTCAGATATTAAGGGAAATAGCTAGGAAGTGGTCTCGGACTGGCTGGTGTGGCCCGTTATTTGAGTCACTTTCTCGACAAGTTCAATCAGATGGATCAGGAATGACCTGTCCTTCCCAAATCCACGCGGGCTCTCTCTGATCAGCTGATCCCTGAGAGGTATCCGGTCAGTTTTGTGCTTGGATATAGACTGTAGCAACTTCCTAGAATCAGTCTCTAATTCCCTACGGGTTCCTCTCTTATTCTTGTCAAACCGCATTGGGAATATTCCAGGTTCTCTCTCTGTAATCCGCCCCAAACTCTTGTCGCCTCCCCCTCGCCAACACCTCTTCCAATTCTAACCCCAAGTCTCTCTGCTGTTTCTCCCCTGTGTCTCCAGCGGGCGCCCTCTGTTGCCTGCAGCCCTGTGCGGCGCCCTGCGCTTGTCATGGAAACAAACTATCGCTCGGCATTTTCCGCGCCTCAGTATCTCCACTTTGTTTAATTCAAACATGACACTGGTCGCAGAGCGATAGCGCCTTCATCCGCTTCTTGAATTTTCCATTTTTGCACCTGACATTCACAAAGGACAGTCCGGACAAGCCACCAAACCTCAGAAAAGCATGTTTATATTGAAAATAACACACGACTTTCCCTCTCGATGCAGCACGCCGTGTGTAATGCAGCCTAACACAGGCTTGATAGCACACGCTCACTTCCTGTAGGCTGCTTATAGTTTGAAGACGAACGTTTCAATGAAGGTTAAAAACAAACATTGGAAAAGAGTTCGACAGGTCCCTGTCAGTTTCTTTTTTTCTGGGATGAAGTTACAATGTAGCTAAAATGGTATGGTATCAGAGCAGCATTGTCTGTAACGAGGCTATCATTCCACTCCATATGGCAAATATTTAGATAAATGAAACACAAGGGGACATTTAGGAAATAGCCACAGGGACATCTGCCAATGGATTGGGGGCGGTAGGATCATACTTCCGAAGATCTGCTTCGCCTTTTCTTTCATTGAACTCAGGGCGGCTCCAGAGAATTCATGAGGTGGAGTCAGTGTTTAAAGCCGGACTGGGGAACATAACATGTTCAACTTCCAGCCAAACTCGACACTAGTCTTGCTCCTAGGCTCCCGAAATCAGAAGTCAGTCCGGAACGGTTTCATTTGAATGATCTACTGGTTACTTTATATTGCTAGCTGCACTGCTTCATTCAAACCAGTGGATAATCCCTAAATAGACCTCTGTCAACAGCCCCAAACTTCATTTCAACAGTTCCAAAGTTCTTATTCACAGAGCCGAATTTCAGATTGGTAAATTAGATGTTAGGGTCTGAACTGTGTAAGAACAAATGCCTCTATTTTAACTGGCGTTCACCTGTTTATTTTTAAAGATGTTCCTTTCTCATCAACAGGTCAGAGGACGTAGTATTGCTCAGTTTGCATTCCTTTCATGACATTCTACTCCAAGAACTGTCTCAAAGCCTTGTCATTCTTTAA